GCCGTACGGGCCCTCCCGGCCGGGTGCGCGCTCGGGGCTGCCGGGCCAGGCGCGCCGCGCGTCGGGGTCGCGCGCGCTCTCGCGGGGTCGCGCGGTCGGGCGCAGCGGGTCGGGCGCGCGGCTCTTGTTGGTGTTGTTGTTGCGGTTCTCCTGCGGGTCCACCACGAGCGGCCGGTCCAGGTGCGTCTTGACGTCGGACCGCAGCGGGCGTGCATAGGGAGTGGGCCAGCGCTCAGCCGCTTCCCCGTACAGCGCCTCGCGGCTGGCCAGCAGGTTCTGCTTGCGCATCTCGCTGGTGCGCTGCTCCCACACTGACTTGGCGGGCTTCTGGTTCTTCTGCTGCTCCTTCCTGCAAGGCAAGGAGGGAGGCTGCTTGCCGCGCCATTCAGCCGTGTGAAGCTGGTCGGACAACGAGGGCTGCAAGCCACCCAACTCCAGTGGGTTCTTTCGACTTATATTACATTAATATGTGCATTTGTATGTGCATGTGCCCTGGCCACCGCAAGTATGTAAAGGTCAGAGGGCAACTATTTGCAGTCAGTTCTCTTCTTCCACTATGTAAGGCTGTCTGCTGTGGTGGGACGCACCTGTGCCTGAGGAGCCATCTTAAGGGCTCTTTCGGATTAGGCTAGTTTCCCACCTCCGCTATGAAGATGCGTCCACTGGTGGGCTAATGTCCGAATGGACTTATGAGAAGTGCCAGAAACTTTAGGAGGTGGGTTCTACCAGAAAGAAGTTAAGTGTTGAGAACCTGCCCCTGAAGGGGATATTGGGCCCTTGGCACCACCTTCCTTCCCTCTGCTCTAACACCTTGAGCTGAGCAGTTTGGCTCCACTATGGGCGTCCATTAAAATGTTCTGCCTCACTACAGGCTTCCATGGTTTCAGCAGCAGCTCCTGTCTAGAGCCTACCAGTGAGGGACTGGGTGTGTGGCTCAGTGGTGGGTTCTATCCCCAGTGCCAGAATGAATGAATGAACAAATGAACGAACAAACGAATAACTTAAATGGCAGCACATGAAGCCTTTTCTGGTATTTTCCTTCTGGGCTGCGAGCAGCTGGGGTTAGATAGGAGTTGTGGGCAGCACTGGAGGAAATCCTCTCTCATTAGCTGGGCGAGCACTGGCCCTGCAGAAGTCTGCCTGGCCATAGCCACCTCCCTTGGCCATCAGCAGAGGTGTGGCTCTGAATGTGGCTGTCTGTGAAGCTCCCTTTAAGGAATACACTTTCGCTGCCACTGCCTCCGACCCGCCAGTGAAGTGTTCCTCTCTGCCTTTAGAATCTGGCTGGAATCCAGCTGCACCCACTGCCCTGCCCAGCCCTTATCTCTTTTTCGTGGGCCAGCCCAGGTTCTTGAATCTGATCTTCAGAACCATATAACCACACCACCCCATAGTCTGTTACCCCAAGGAATCTGGCCTTGACACTCCACTGCTCAAGAACTCTCTTTGGCTCTTATGTAATTAGGGGCAACAACTCTGGACCAAAGGCCCACAAGGCCTTGGCTATTCCTATCTCCTCCTTGCTTTTTTCTCTAAGCCTGCCTCTTCACCCACTCTTTTTCAGCCATGTTAGTCTCTTTCCTACCTATTCTTGAAATACCCCTGCCTCAGAGTCTGGCTCCTCTCTCATTTCCTTCAAGTTTTGTTTCCTTTTAGGTGAGACCTTCCTTAACTTGTTTGTTGCTTTCTGGAGACAGGATCTCACTATGCCTGGTCTGGACATGGCTGTCCTTGAATTCACACAGATCTGCCTGTCTCTGCCCCCAGAGCAAGGAGCATACCACCACACCTGGCTCTAAAGTAACTTCTGGGGCTGGAGTGAAGGTTCCTCAGCCCTCATTCCCTGCTCTGTGCTCAGCTGCTCCCAGAAGGCTCCACAGCGTGCAGATTACTCCTTGTCTCACTTACTATTCATTATCTCTCTGACCTGAACAGCTACACAAGTGTGCCGCCCCCACGTGGATGCTGCTTTCCCCGCAGTTACAACAGGACCAGGTGCAAAGTAGGTGCTCATTAAATACTGGGTGAACGTGGGTGAGAGGCAAAGGCGCCTACCTCTCCCAGGCTCAGCAGTTGGGAGCCACCCCAGCCCTCCCCAAATCCTTGCCTGAGTGGCACCCGAAGCTTGGGGACACTTACACGGCTATGGACATGTTGGCCGCAGACAGAGGACTCACTTCTGCTACCTCCTTGGCTTTCTGTAGTGCCAGTTTCTGGTTGGCTGCCTCTTCCTCTTCTTGTTCATCCTAGAAGGCAAATGAGGTTCACAAGAACAGGCCTGGGGGCCCACCTTACACCTCTATGCCAGCCAGGGGCATATGTGAGGCACTGAAAAATAAGTTTGGCCTGGACCTTAACCAGTTGGAAGCAAGATCCCCAGTCAGACTGGGCGGGCGGCGAAATGTACTGCCACTCCTGTGTACAGGCTGGCTCTCCAGCCCATTAACCCTTTGGAGCCCAGACTCGTCTGGAACTTGAGATGGTCCTGGCCCAGACCTCCTCAGTGCTAGAGTAACAGGCACCCGCAAGCATCCTGGCTCCTCTTACCTCATTTCTCCAGTCTCCTTACTGGTGTTGGAGCGGACTCTAAGGTTTTGTGCTAGCTAGAACAGAGCTGTCACTGGGCTGCACCGCTAATCCCACATCTGTGGGTGTCCTGTGCTTTTCAAGCTGCCTAAATGCTCAGAACCAGCTCCCCTAGGCATCGGGTAGCCCCAGTGGCAGTGCCATAGCTTGTACTCCAACTGTCAACAGCCCAGAGAAGGCAGTCTGGGCTCTATAAGATCTATCCTCAGCACCTACTATGAGAAGGTGGGGAGGAAGGAGTGGGCTTATAGCTTCAATCCATGGCCTAAACGGTTGGGGACATGAAGTCCTTTAGCTCTGTCAGAAAAGCCATTAGTGTTTGGTGCAGGCCGTCAATCCCAGCACTCATGAGGCAGGTGGACCTCTGTGAGTTTGAGGCCAGCCTGGTCTACAAAGTGAGTTCCAGGCCAGCTAGGGCTACAAAGTGAGCCTCTGCTTTAAAAAAGAAGAGGAGGAGGAGGACTAAAAACCACCAATGGAAAGACAAGGAAGAAACAGATAAAACAACCCCCCAAACACACCAATGAGAGGCGCCACAGTGGTGTTGCAGGGTAGCTGCCCCCGCCTTCTGAGTCCCCTGGTCCCAGAAGTAACCTCCACTTTAGAAACTGTCAGTGACAGGAAGCAGAGCTTCCCCTCTCCTGACACCATGCCTAGCATCTTTTGGAACCTGGTCCTCAGAACATCGCCTCAGAACACTGAGAACGCAGGGTCCCAGGCCCGTGGCGGCACTTGCAGCCCCCGGGCTGCCTCCAAGAATCTGTATTTTCAGGAGCTCTTGGGTCGGTGCAAAGCACATTCAGGCTTAAACATCTCATGTGCAGTGGAGAAAAACCACAAGTTTCAGATTCATATAGCCTGGGTTTCGATTCCAACCTTACCACTTACTGCTTGACCTTCGCAAGTCTCTTAACTTCTCTGTGTCTCTCCTTTATCTCCTATACTTCCAAGACTCCCTGACTCATCTCACCACACTTTTCAGCACCATCTGACAAACAGTTGTTTTACAAATGCATCTGATTTCTGGATGCCTCCACAGCCTGAATCCCTGTTTCTCCAGGCCAGGGATCTGTGTCTGTTTTGTTCACTGCTATGTCCCTGGCTTCTAGGCTGTCCTCTCTGTGGGTACTCAATACATGATTGCTGGATGAGGTGTGGTCTGTAAAATGGGGCTCAAACGTCTTTCCTTGCTTGAGGTTTACAGCTGTGTGACCGTGTGTACATGGACAAAGGGGAAGATTGGGGTCGGCAGGGGAAAGGCCTCCTTCACTTTGGAGTGTAGCTGGTCTGTCTTCCCATGCCAGCCTCCTGTATCTTGGATGAGCTCACGGCTGGATCGGTCTGTAGTGACACGATGCCAGCCAGCTTCATGGTGGCTGAACTCTTGGCTTCCTGCCTGGGGTGGGAGACTTCCGCTTTTCCCTGCCGGAGGTGGGGCCGGGAAATTCTCCCTCCCTCCTGCCAGGGACGACAGATGGAGGGTTGGCAGCCCCTACGCTGTAGCTCCAGCGACTTGGGTTCTGAGGCACCGGGATGATGCGGTGAAGCCGAAGCTGGGGGAGGCTCCAGAAATGCTGCAGGTATTGTGTATTTCTTTAATTCTGCGGAGCCAGCCATGATGGTCCCTGACACTTCAAGACTGCACAAAGCACAGTTTCCCTGTTTTTCTTCTCCCAGGCAGATGTGCCATCTCTGGGCACTCAGCCTCCACTGCAGTTTCCTTTGTGGAAACCCTGCTCACGGGCTGTCCCTACCAGGGGCATGAGCTGTGCTGCTGAAAGCAGTGCTACCTCCCCTGTGCCTGACTGACGTGAACCTGACGGCATCTAGGATGCCTGAGGCTGCCTCGAGGGACAGTGATGCCAGTTTGTCCCCAGATAATTCCCCATCACTGAGTATGAATGAAACCTGGGCTTCATCTCATCCAGTGGCTTTTCCTCTTCTCTGCCCTTTGCAGGGTCTTGTCTTTGGTCTCTCTCAGTTCCTGGTGTATGGCACATGCATCCACCTTCCCTGGCCTCAGTTTCCCCACATGTGAGAAGACAGGCTATCTTTGAAGGGAAGACAGGCTCTTGCTATGTAGCATACGTAGCCTGGTCTTAGACCTGCAATTCCCCTGCCTCAGCTCTGTGCTCACAGATGTGCACCTCTAGGCCAGCTGCATGACACTCTTAAGTAGTGGCTGTAGATGTCATACCATCTGGGACAATGGACTTTGCCTTTCTGACCCTCAGTTTCCCTTTCTCCAGGCAGCAGTGCCTGTCCCTGAAGCACAGTTCTTTAGCGTTGTCTCTTGGAAGGCCACCCCGAGGGCATTTCATCCGGCCAGCTCCTCAGCACAGGGTCACAGGGGGACCACATGCCCTGAGAATCGTTCTCTGCCTTCCCAGGCAGCTAACCTCTGGGCATCCTGTCTCTCACCTTCTATCAACTCTCTCTGGCAGGCTCCTATCCCCTGGCAGGAAGCCAGAGGGAGGGTGAAGTGGGAGGCATTCCGGGTCACTGTATCTAGCCCAGCTTTGGTTCACAGAGGTCACAGAGTCTCTGTTCTGGCTCTGCCTGCCACCCTCCCAAGTGACTCCTTGCCCCATCCTTTGGTTGGTAGTGGTGCCCATTATCCTGGAACACCTTATTCCTCAAGCCCCTTGGGTGTAGTTGGCTATCTGTCCTCAGTAGGCACCTTGCTGTCCCCTTCCCCTTCCAGCTATAAACTGGCTTGATTAGGGATGGCATGGCTCCAGGAGAGGTGCCTAGTGCTCCCATCCCCAGCAGGAGCCCTGATGCAGCCCCCACATCCCTCCAACCCCCGCTGTCATGATCTGCCATGAGCAGGTGGTTACTGTGTCCTCCACCTTGGTGAGCTCCTGGGCATTGGCCAGGTTGTCCACTGCGATAGCCAAGAACACATTCAGCAGGGTGTCTGTGTGCCGAGTCAGGGAAAGCAACTGACGGAAGCACACTGTCCAGAGCCTGGGCATCTGGGTCCCTTCTGCTCCACCCACACCCAGTCTGTCCCTGGTCCCATGAAGGATACAGTTCCCGAAGAGGGTGAGGACGATGAAGTAGATGGAGAACACCATGCCTCCCTGCACGCCCCCCTGAGACTTGATCCCATCGTACATGACCTCGTTCCAATCCTCGCCAGTCAGGATCTGAAAGACAGGGACAAACACACAGCCAAACCTCTCTCAGCCACCAGCTTGTTGGAACCACAGCTGAGGCCGTGATCCTTAGCCAACCCTAGCCTAGGTCTTGAGCGACCTCTTGTGAATTCCCATCTCTGAACTGTGCCTGGGAGGGGCGTTCTCAACTTGACTGTGGGAAACAGAGGACTTGGGTGTTTCATGGCTTGCTGTTGTCCTCTCTTCTCTGATGTGACACAAGGGTTGGCTCTGGGCTGAATGGGTGTCTGTCAAGCTCTGAGACAGAAACTCAGCTCTCAGTGAGGTGGCCTTTGGCAATTTAGGAAGACCCTGTCTCAAACAATCAACAATTTTAAATGGCAGGGGTCCTAGGGAATAGAGCTTGGTGGCAGAATCCTTGCCTGGCTTGTCACTTGGCAATGGTTATGGGACCTGTGAGAAGTAACTGGGGTGACATGAGGTCATGAGAGTGAAGCCTTATGGTGTGAGGTTCCTGCTAATATAAGAAAGTGAAGGAGAAGAAGGAGGAGGAGGAGGAGGAAGAAAAGAAAAAGGAGAAGGAGAAGGAGGGAGAGGAGGAAGGGGAGGAGGAGGAGAAGAAGAAGAGGAAGAAGAAGAAAAAGAAAAGGAGAGTGGAGAATGCTGGGATGTAGCTCAGTGATAGAGCACTTGCCTAGCATGCACGAAGCCTGGGGTTCTGTCCCCAGGACGACATAAACCAGGCATGGTGCTTGTACCTGTCATCACAGCACTAGGGAGGTGGAACATTCTAGAATGTTCCTCTGCTGGCCAGGCTTCTATGCCTGGTACTGTTGGGCAAGGGTGGGTCATTCCCTGGGAGGAGCACTCCTGGCCTCCCATCACTGCAGCATGCCACTGTCATTCGCCCACCCCAACTAGGTCTGACCATCAGCAGTGTCTGCAGACAATGCCCTGTGTCCTTGGGGGGACTGAAGCCCCCTGGAACTTGGCCCTGTTCACCATCCATTCTCTGGCTGAGGGTATTGCTTTGTATCTGTGCTCTCTCAAGCCAGCCTTGCAGCCTTGTTTAGAAATGGTCGGCCTCTTTAAGAAAAGGAAGGATGAAGGCCAGTCTCCAAGCCTCAGTGTAGGTGCCCCAAGAGGATGCAAGCCTCCTTGTCCTGGAGCATGTGGAGACACTTGCTTTGACGACTGGTAACTATCAATCAGGCCTTTCCATTTTGGTTTTGTCTTGTTTTGGATGGGGTCTCATAGCCTGGCCTTGAGCTGCAGGTCCGACAGTCTCAGCCTCCTGAGTGCTGGGATTACAGGTATGTGCCACTACCCTGGGTTCTCTGTTTTTTTCTTTTTCCCTCCCTCCTCCCTCCCTCCCTCTTTTCCTCCATCTCTACCTACCCCCTCCCTCTGCTCACTGTCTTTCTCTTTCCTTCCAACAGTGTCTCATGTAGCCCAGGCTGACCCTAAACTCATTATATACCGAAAATAACCGTGAACTCCTACATCCTCTTGCCCAACCTCCAAGTCGTGTGCATGATGCCCAGGCAACTTCACTGGCTGTATTCTGATACTTAAGTAGCTGGGGTCCTGCAGACCCTGGAGGGATGGTCTTGCCCTGGGGAAGCCAGTTCCCTAGAGATGGGGAAGAATCTTCTCCTGTAGAACAGCTCACCCTCACAGCTCTGTTGGGGTTCTCCTTCCAGTCACTACAGCAGTGGGCAGGTGCTCCCCGCCACCACCTCCTTCCCATAAGAACTTCAAGCAAGGCTCTTTTGTAACCCAACTGGCCTAGGTGTGTGGTCCTGTATAAAACATATGGGTGACAAGCTAACCTCTCTCTGCTGTAGGTGTGTGTGTGTGTGGGGGTGTCTGGATGTACCTGGGCTGTAATCTGGGGCCTCATATGTGTTAAACAAATGCTCTAGCACTGAGATGCATTCCCAGCAACAATAAAAACAAGCATTCTAAAAATGGGAAGGGGAAAGGGAAGAAATGACGGAATTCAGGTGTGCTCCTGGGCTCTGCATGGCCCCTGTTGTGTGGTTAGGAGCTTGCATCAGGGCTGAGGAAGTTCATACCTGAAACACAGTCATTATTGCTGCTGGAAAAGTGTCGAAGTTGGTGGGAGGAGTCCCCTCATCAAAATTAAACCTGAGGAGAGCAAAGACATTTTATGTTAGACCTCCTGCTCTGAAGGCCTGGCTCAGCTTCTGGTTTCCATGGCAATATCTAGAGTATCTCTGTTCCCCAGGAGGATACTGTATCTGGTACCCAGAAACGCACTGCCCTATATGACCATTTGTATCCTGAGGACAAGACACAGGATGGAGGTCAGCTCGAAGAGGACGTGCACGTGCGTGTGCATGTGCGTGTGTGTGTGATGGAGACTGAATACGAGTTCTGGGTTAGAAGTCCAAGACAGCAGGCAGTACTTACTGGCCACCAAACAGCTGCATCCCCAAGAGGGCAAAGACAACGATAAATAGGAAGAGGAGGAACAACAGACTTATGATGGACTTCATGGAGTTGAGAAGGGAGACAACCAAGTTTCGGAGAGATGCCCAGTACCTGCCGACAGAAGCCAAGGTGGAGGTCAGACCGGGGGTATGCAGGCTGGCCAGGCACCCTCCCTCCCCCTTATCCCCTCATCAGAGTGCTAAGAAACCTCAAAGACTTACTTTGTGACTTTGAAAATACGCAGTAACCTGAGAGCTCGTAACACGCTGATTCCGAAGGATGTGCCAGGTTTTATGACAGCCCATATGACTTCAAAGATGCTCCCAATGATGACCTGCAGCAGACAGCCCAAGTCATGGCTGGCCTAGGACTCCCACCCATCCCCTCGGGGGTACACAGTGGTGTGTCTGCCTGGAAGGTCTGCATGGGCTGGTGTTTATGGAAGTTTATTGGAAGTCTATGAAGCTGTTAAGAGGTAGTGCCTGGCTGGAGGACCTCTGTCCCTAGGGGTCAAAATCCTCTCCTCCTTTAGGTTGTTTCTGTCAGGCTTCTTTGTTTTAGAGACAGGGTGCTGGATTAAAGGAATGTGCCACCAAGGCCTGGCTGCCTTGAGTTTTTAAAATAGAAATTAGTTCCATTATTTCCCCACTCACTGCAGAATTGCTGGGTTTTCCATGTCTATGTCTATTTTTTTTTTTAAAAGACATTCTAAGTTGTCCATACTGGTGACAGCAGCTGTGTGTTCTATGTGCCCCCTCCCCTTCTTTCTCCACTCACCTCACATCCAGAGGAAACCTCACTACTACTATTAGTAGTAGTAGTATTTATTAGTATTAGTATCAGTATTAGAAAGGCATTCAGGCTACCCTGGACTCACTATTCTATCTTTAACTCAGGTACTAGGACGGCGGGCACAACCCACATCTGGCTCCCTCCACTGTGATACGAGCCCCCAGGTGTCAGCCCTGCTGATGAGATCCAGAACAAGAGGCCCGAGAAAATGCAGTACTCACCCCACAGTCAAAGCAGTTGAAGGAAGAGTGGAAGTAAGGCCGCGTCCCAAGCCCATACATTTTTATAAACATTTCGGACATAAAGAGTCCTAAGAAAATGAATTCTGCATAGTCTGGAAGGAAAAGGAAGAATTGTGGGTTAGGCTGTAGCAAAGGCCCATGTCTCTGCTTTTCTCCTGTGTCTCCCAGGCAGGCATGGAGGCAGAGATGATACTCTGTATATCATAGCCAATGACTATGCAAGGATTCTTTCCCATGGCCTGTTTCTCTTCTGCAACAGAACAGGACCAGCTGCCTGCTATCTTCCAACCAACCAACCAGTGGGCCAGTCTTAAAAGAGTGAGAAAAGGTCTTGTAGGCATTCATTGAATAGTTTTTTTATCCCGCTTTAAAGAGGAAAGTTGGGTGTAGGATACTGCTTTGGACCAAGTTTTTGTGTTGACTGAACAGCAAGCAAAGGAAGTGTAAAGAAAGGAAAGGCTGTGGATTCAAAGCAATTTCTACAAACTTCAAAATTATGGCTCCAGAGATAATTCTGTTTGATGATTGCCATGGTTCGAATGCCTGTGCTCCCCTCTGGAAAATCTGTGATAATTTGCTTTTTGAGACACAGGGTCTCACTACATAGTCCTGGCATTCCTCATAGACCAAGTTGCCCTCAAACTCAGAGATCTGCTTGCCTCTGCCTCCCTAGTGCTGGGATTAAGGGTGTGACCACCACACCTGGCCTCTAAAACCTATGCTGAAAGGTATTCCCCAAGGGAGCAGCTCCCATGGTCTATAAAGCCGTTAGAACAGCGAAAGATGGCTGAAGGAGAACCAAGTCTTAGAGCCCCGTGAACAGCACTGGATGTGCCTATAAGGGGGCTTTGATGTGGGAGTTCATCTTCTGGCCTGTCATGAGGACATGCTAGCATCCTTTCCAGAGGACACAATACTGAGGGCAGAGAACAACTTTCCAGTAGAAAACCAAGCCTCCCACGAATGCCACAGGTACACTATCCAGGCTGTAGAAATTCAAGAAAGGAAATGTCTGTTGTTACCAAATCACCTAGCCTCAAGCATTTTGTTATAGTATTGTGGTTTGGCTAAGATGACTGTCAAGAGCCCTAGTCAGGTCATGCTTTAAGGGGTGGCTTTTGAATTGATTACCAAATATCCCTCATTGTCATTTCTTGCCAAACTTCTCTTGATTTGTAGGATTCTCAGAAGCTACTTGTTTTGGGGAGAAACTCTTGAGTGTCTAGGACAGAGCATCCAGGGAAACAGATCTGCCTATGATGTCTGGTCCCTCTGAGCCCTAGCAGGGTGGCTCTATGAGGACGAAAGTCTCTGAGGTGCTTCCTCCCTAGTTACTATGGAAACTCGGGGGATAGTAACACATAACACCGGAGCACTGGAGAACCATAGGAATGGTCAGACACACCCTCTACCGGGTCCAGACACAGATCAGAGACCCAGGTGCTCATTTCATTGGTTCAAGAGACTCTCTTGTTCTGATTTGGATTTTTCTGAAACTGAGCTACATCTTCCAGTCACACTGCTTCGTTCTTTGTTACTCATAGACTGCTTTAGGACTGAAGACCTTTGATCAATGAATTATAGTCTGGACCTGCCTAGGGGGAGGACAGGCATTGAGACTTCAGAGACTCCATCTTCAGATCCAGCTCGGATTTAGGAACACAACTGCCTGGGTTCAAATTCCAGATTCATCCCTTACAAGTTGTGTGACCTGGGAAAATTTCCTCCACCTGTCTGTCTCTATTTTCATAACTGGAAAACGGGGCTAACTGAAAGATGTCCAGGCAGGAAGCCCTAATCCCCTGTTTCCTTAACCAGGACAGACTGCAAGATGATTAGCGGAGGAAAATAGACGAGTGAAAATAGCCTGCAAGAAGAGCTCATGACGGGGAAGAAAGAGCCCTCATTATCACGGCTCCGGAGGGACCAGATGCAGCTTTGCAGCTTGGAAGCAGGTCATGCTCAGAGAAAGAACAGTCCCCTTGGGGTGTCCTGTGGGGCCAGACAACAGGCCTGGGGACCGTGGAGGTTCAAGGAAATAGTCCCTTGGACTAGAATTTGGGCCTTTCTAGGTCAAAGGCATAACCATCCTTCTAGTTGTCCCAGGCCTCTGAACAAGGGCTTTAAACAGAAGGCCAACAGCTCCAGGAGGAGGCAGCCAGCAGGCCGCTCTCAAGGGGCCTCTAGGGGAGAGCAGGCCAGCCACGCCCATTAGGCCCACACCTTCTTCTGTTGACTCCTTACAGTTTCCAGTCCTGGGGCTCCCACCTTCCAGTGTCCATGCTCGGTTTAGGCAGGTCCAGAAAAATCTGGTGTGAGCATGGCTCCGTGGTAGAACCCCTGCCCACTACGTGTAAATCCCTGAGTTCTAACTCTAGTGGGAGGAAGAGGCTGTCACTGTCTGCCGGGCACTTGCGGTTCTAAGGTTCCTGACTTGAAAGTGGGTACCACACAGACATTCTGAGCAGCGCTCTCTACGCCAGACACAAGCCACTGCCTCTGTGCGGCTCTCCTGTGGTCTGCCTCTTCCCTCCTCCGCCTGCACTTGAGCAGTATTCCTGTGTCTCCTTTAGAAACAGTAGCCTGACTGCCCAGCTTTGGGCTCTCGGGACTGTGAGAAAGATGGGCTGGGCAAGGCTGGATTCGGGGACACAGGTGTCCCTGTCCAAGGCTCATGTCCCAGGACACTGGATTATAGAGCAGGAACACTGGGAGCTGGTGAGGGGCTCTCAAAGGGGGGGGGGGCAGTGGGAGGTTCTTAGGACACTGGCGGTGCACCTTGCTGCCTGTCTGTCTTGTCTGTCTTTCACTGTCTTTATCTCACTGTCTCTGTCTTTGCATTTATATCTATCTCTTCCTGTCGCTCTTCTCTAACTTTCTATGCTTTTTCTTTTTTAGACTACTGTATGTGTGTGTATGTGTGTGTGTGTGTGCAAGCATGTGGCATAAGCTTGTGTTTGTGTGTGCATAAGTGTGCACACACGTATGTGCCCAAGGATGTGTGTGCATCTGTGTATGTGTGCTCACATGTCCATGCCACAGTGCCCCTGTGGAGTTAGAGGACTTCTGGGAATCTGTTTTCTCTTTCTACCTTGTGGGTTCCGGAAATCAGCTCAGGTTTCCAGGCTTGACACCTGCGTGCGCCATTACCCACTGAGCCACCTGGCCAGTTCCCGTTCATCTCTTTTCTCTTTGTGATGTCTGTCTGTGTGCATGTCTGTCTCAGCTCCTGGCTGCAGGTTTGGCCACAGCTCCGGCATGCGCTCCTCCATCCCCACGTCACTCACCCTGAGCTTCTGCCCGGAGCTAAGCCAAAGCTGAGCTTTGATCCTGATAAACCCTGAGCGGAAGAACCCTTTTGCCTTTTTGGCCTAGCCGCCTCAGGTCTTCTACTTAACACGGGCCTAGCGAGGCCTCCGCCTTGGGAGCAACCGTGTGGCCCCTGTCCAGCGGCAGAGGCAGAGGTCTGCGAGTGGCACTCACAGAGGAAGTCGGAGAGCCACTCAGGCTGGTTGTAGTGGACGATGGCGACGCACAGCGTGTTGAGGGCTACCAGACTGAGCACGGTCCAGTAGAAGGCCTGAGTTTTGACCATGCGGCGGATGTAGAAACGCATCCTTCTCTCCTTTTTGTGAAAAAAGGTCGAGTTCTCCAGCTTGGCACTTTTAATGCTGGCTCTGGCGAAAGGTGACCCTGCCAGGGAAAGGATGGAGAGGGCGAGAATCAGGATGGTCCTCGGTGTGGAAGCCACACGGGAGGGCTCTCGGGAGCTGGGCGCCGCACTGCAGAGTCCCAGTGTGGGGGCTGCATGCTCCAAAGGCCCCAGGGTGGCCGCCGCAGGATCCTGGGCATCCCACTTGCAGCATTATGTGGCTGACCGGAACGTTTTGCATTTTAGAGGTTCAGGAGCACCCCGCTGGGGGTCACAGGGCGAGTGTTCAAGGGGAGCTGTTCTCCTTAGGCACTGAACTGGGGACACACAGAGGCAGACTTCCCACCCATGTGACAGCTGCCACTCAAGGAGAACACACGTTAAACAGATATTTGGGGCCAGAGGATGGCTCAGTCAGTAGGTCCCCAAACCACAAGGACCTGAGTTTAACCCTAAAACCTGGGTCTAACCTGGACAGAGCGGGGCACGCTTGGAATCCCAGCCTAGCCAGAGAACCCCAGGCCGTCGAGAGACCACATCTCAAAAGATGTGGGCAGCTCGGAGGATGCCACCTCAGCCTGACCTCCTGCCTCAAGACGCCCGTACACCCACACAGACACGCACACGTGAGTGAGACAGCAGGACATGGTGCCCTCCTCTGGCAGGCAGCGTGTGCACACAGCTGCCTACACATGGATACACACCACACAGGCACATGCGTGTGTCATATATGTACAGATGCTCTGGAGGCCAGCAGAGGACTAGAGTTACTGGTGGCCGTGAGCCACCTGACGTGGGTCTGGGGACTGGATTCATGTCCATCACATGCTTTAAACCACCGAGCATCTCTCCAGGCCCCAAATGTAATCACGGATCAGAGAGCCCTCCTTACTGAGACTTCCGTTTCCTCAGACGCTCTATATGCTGCATCTCATCTTTGTCTCTTTACTTTTTTGACAGTGCCAAGATTGGAACTCAGGGCCTTGCACACAGTAGGTGAACATTCTACTACTGAGCCATGGCCCCCACCTTTTTAAGTATATTTTTTTATATAAAAGAAATTACATTTTATAAGAGTAGATACAAATTGAAAATAATTATCATGGATTACATAATTGTGTTTTTAAAAAATTATTTATTATTTGTGTGCTTGCGTGCTCGTGTGTGTGCATATGTGTCCATGCCGGCCAGTGGAGGAGGTCACACCCAACAGCTAGGCTGCTGTGAGCTGCCCTGTGTGGGTGCTGGGAATGGAACCTGCGTCTCAGGAGGGCAGGGAGTGTTCTGGCTGCTGTGCTGTCTGCAGCCTCTGCAGGTGGCTTTGAAGTGTGTCGTCTGCACTGCAACGTGGCCAGCCTGAGCCAACGGCCATGCCCATTACCTTACTGCCGTGGTTTGCGCCCTCAGGGCTTCCAGCCTCTAGCGTAAATGGGAGGTGGCGGATGCTTTATGAGACGGGGCCTAGTAAGATGTGCTGGTTGGTTTTTGTCAACTTGACAAACCTAGATGTATCTGGGAAGAGGGACTGAGGAATGCCTCCGCAAGGCTGCCTGTAGGCAAGTCTGTGGGGCCATTTCTTCGACACTGGTGTGGGAGGGAGGACCCAGCCCACTGAGCAGGTGGCCCTGGGCTGTGTGAGGAGGCAGGCCGAGCAAGCCAGAGGACGCAAGTCTGTGAGCAGCCTCCTCCATGGCCCTTGCCTTGAGTTCCTGCCCTGACCTCTCCCGCCTCGCTCTCTCTGCTGCTAGGATATGAACAGCTGCTTCTGTCACACAAACAGGACAGGAACGAGTGACAGTGGAATGAAACCTCTCAGCTATGAGCCAAGACACCCTTTCCTCCTTACAAGTTGATGACCTCAGGTGTGTGACACAATGACAGAAAGGCAATACACTCACACGATTTTCTTTTGTCTCTCAGCTCTGTGTGTGTGAGTGTGTGAGTGTGTGCATGCACGCGCACACAGGAGAACGTGCATGTGCTCATCTGTGCACTCTCACATGTGTGTATACCTACATGTTTGTGAGTTCTTACGTCTGTGTGCACCTATGTGCATGTGGAGGCCAGGTGTCCGCAGTTCCCATCCACATTTTGTTTTTTTGAGACAGGATTTGGAACTTGCTTTTTAGGTTAGACTGTCTAGCCAGAGACCCACCTATCTCCACTTTCTCCAGGCTTCGAGTGTTAGCACCACCACCACACTCAACTCTGTGTGGACCCTGGAGGATCAAACCTGGGCCCTTAGACTGCACAGCCAGCACGCTAGCCACCAAGCCGTCTTCCCAGTCCCCACGCCCAGCCATTTTAAAGCGTGTAACACACTGCACACACAGTCTGACCGTGTCTCGCAATGGAGCTCTCCAGGGACTTGGTTAGTGGACATTTTATCCTAGGACCCTGCCCGGGTCCCCCTCCTCAACTACAGTCAACACCTCCGTGCTGAGAAAGCCTCTCTGGGGTGCTCATCTGCTACCTCACAGCACAGTGGGCCGGTGAAGAAGCACAGCCACAAAGCTTCCTTCTCAGAGCTCGGGCAGTCTAGGAAGCCCGAGGTCAGCAGGAGGGCAGGTTTGCGGCCTAGGTGGAACCCACCACAGGATAGCAAACCACAGACTGTGTTTGGGGTCCATTTTGAAAGACATTGTCTTCTCTTTCAAAATTTTTTTTTCTTGTGTATATGAGTGTATGAAACATACATGTTTGTGTACACACTCACACACATGGTACATATATGGAGGATACTTTGGGTGTCCATCTTCACCTTCTACATTGTCTGAGAAGGGGTTTTGTTTGCTGTTTATTTGAGACAGGGTCTTACTGTGTGGCCCTGGCTGGCCTGGAACTCACTAAGTAGACCAGTGTGGTCTTGATGTAGCTCACAGAGATACATCTGCCTCTGCCTCCTAGTGTTGGTATTAGAGGTGTGTGCCACCATTCCAAATGAAACAGGGTCTTTTTTGTTGCTTACTGTTAGCTAGCTTTCCTTTTATGTTTCTGGGAGTGACTCCATCTTTGACAAGTACTGGAATTACAGGCACATGCCACTGACTCTGGCTTTTAATGGGTTCTGAGATTCAAACTCAGGTCCTCACACTTGCAAGGCAAGGCTTTATCCCAGAATCACCTCCCCAGCCCTCATTGGCTTCTAAAGTTGTTTGGTTTTAGGGTCCTAAGAGCAGAACCCAGTGCTTCATGAGTTCTAAGCGCCCCCCTTCCCCCGTGAGCCCACTCTAGCCCTTGCTTTTATTTAAACATTAGAAGCAATCGTGCCCGAGCCACTGGGATGTATGCCTCCTGCACAAGAGAAGAAATCACTTTTGAAGAATTAACGTCAGGTAAAGGGGCTGGGGCTGGAGCTGAGTAGAACGGGCTCCCAAGGCACTCACTGGACTGTGCCTGCAGCTCTGCAAAAGCAAGCGAACGAATAAATAAAAGTTGCAGAGATGGTAGGTCAAGGAATTGATCTATAATTAAATAGTGCCAGGTGGTGTAAGTAAACCAGGAACATTACAGATTCATGCCCCCACCAAGAGCATCCCAGAGAGTCAGTTTCCTCTCATCCTTGTCAGCATGGGGTTGGATCACATGCTCATGTGTGTCAAAATGAATGATGGAGACCAGACACGCAGTAAGAGAGGGCACCCATCTAATTCAGAAGATCTCAACCTGGCTTCCCAAGTACACACCAATAGCAACAAAGATCTTGCCTGTTAAGACAGAACAAAGCAAAAAGCAGGGCCGCTAGAAGGGGCTTGCCACTAAGCCTGATGCCTTGAGTTTGATCTCTAGAACCCACGTGATGGCATGCAGAGCCTACTTCCACAAGTTGTCTTCTGGCTTCCATACATGTATAGTGACATACATGACTACACACACACATATATAAACATATAAATAAACACATACATATTTAAGACAAAGTCTCACTACGTAGCCTTGGCTGACCTGGAACTCTCTGCCTCTGCCTCTGGCTCCTGAGTGCTGGGATCAAAGAGATGCACCACCACATCTGCCAGATTTACTTTTACGTTATGCGCCTAAGTGTTTTGTCTGCATGTGAACCTGGGGAGGCCAGAAAAAATGTCAGGATCTCCTTGAAGATTGAGTTATAGGTGGTTATGGGCCACCATGTGAATTCTGGGAGTTGAACTCTTGGTTCTATGCAATAGCACCCAGTGCTCTTAACCTCTGAGATATCTCTCTATTCTCTAATGAAAGAAAGGAAGGAAGGAAGGAAGGAAGGGAGGGAGGGAGGGAGGGAGGGAAGGGGAAGGGGAAAGGGAAGGAAGGAAGGGAAGGGGGAAGGGAATGAAGGGAAGGGAAGGGAAGGAAGAAAGAAGTTAGAAGGCCAGGCATGGTAGTCCACACCTTAAATATCAGAACCGGGAGGCAGAGGCAGGCAGATCTTTGTGAGGTGCAGGCCAGTCAGGCAGTCAGGGTTATACAGAGAGAAAGACCATGTGTGCGCGCGCACACACACACACACACACACACACACACACACACACACACATACAAATAAGAATAAATAAATTAAAAAAAAGTGGGTGAAATGAGTTGTCAAGGCCAATGCTGACTGAATGCATGAAGCAGAAGAAGACGCCTGCAGCACTTCTCAAAGGACATGGGCAGGTGCGCCCACAAAGAGAAACGAAAGTAAGTCATCATAAACAAAAGTGTGTTTCCTCCAGAAATTGAAAATAGCGTTACAAACCTCCTAAACCAGGAAAGGGAATGTGAACCAGCCAGGGTGGGGACCAATGAGAACCTGTCTAAGAAAAGTTCATGAATGAGTGTCCTGTATTCAAGTGCAGGAGTGTTATTCAGGCTCAGGGAGTAAGGAGCCGGGAAGTCATTCATAGCTTTGATCCTGGAATTACCCCCAGCAGCATGCCCATAGGGTGTGGAGAGGAACTGTGAGCGTGCACAGCAGCAGCATTCCAGCTGGGAGAGACTGGCGAGGAGGCAGGCGCCACAGCCACCCTCGGGGACCAGAGGGCTCCGAGAGGAGAGATGTCGACGTGTCTGTGAGGTGGACATCTGTGTGGCGGCAGGGGCCTGAGGTGGCATGCACAGGGACAGCACCCTCTCCCTTGAGATCGGGGTCTCTCACTGGCCCGGAGTTCACTGGTGAGGCTAGGCTGGCTGGCCAGCGGGTCTCCTGTTCCACTCTGTCCAGGTCTGACGTGCATTCTGGGGTTGAACTCAGATGTTCGTGCTTTTGAGGCAAGCATTTTACTGACTGGGCCATCCCTCAGTCCCAAATCTGTTTAATGTGTGTTCTCCTGGGTGACAACTTTCACGTGGGTGGGAATTCTGCCTCTGTCTTGTGCTGAACTGACCACCCACCCCCAACTCATCGGCCAGTGACCCCGACCGACATTTCTAATGGGAACATCCAAATGCACTGTGCTCCCAGGGCTAACCCTTTGCACACCTTACAACACCACGAGTAGAAAAGTCCACACTGGAGCTGGCGAGATGAAAAAAGCACCTCAGAACTCCGAGAGCTGTCCTCTGACGTCCACAGCATCGAGGTGGCATGCGGGACTCCCCCTCCCCCAATATATCATGTACAACAAAATAATAAATAAAATTTAAATATCTACATTACTTCCTGTACAAAACTGTATTTGAAAATAAGAGTGCAATTTATTGATTGTGTGTTGGCGTGTCACGTGCAGGGAGTGGACAGGTCTGAGGACAACTCGTTAGAGTCATTTCTCTCCTTTCACCACATCGATTCAAGCCCCCTTACCTGCTGAGCCGTCTTGCCTACCCACAGTGATGTTGTTGTTATTACTATTATTATAAGATTACTTTTAGACAGAGTCTCACCACATAACTCTTTATCTGGAGCTCACAGAGATCCATTTCATGGGGTTAAACGCATGTGCCACCACACCTGGCCACACAAAAGTGCTTTTAAAAGAGTCTAAAATTACCTTTAGGCTCTGTGTGTGAAAGATAAATGAATGTTGTTTTTAGACTTTGATCCCATGCTAAAACACTGCCTGATATATATAGAAATATCCCCAAATCTAGAAACACCCAGAGTCTGAAACAGTTCAGCACAAGGAATTTTGTTTTGTTATGTTTGTTTCTGAAACAGGGTCTCACAGTGTATTTCATTCACTCTGTAGTACACACTGCCTCTAACTCACAGTTGGGCTGTCTCCACCCTCGGAGAGCTGGAGAAAGGTGTGCCATGCCCTGCTACGCACGGTAGCGGCACTCAGCTGTAATGGACTTAGCCAAGGTAGCTAGGAGCCTGCTCTCTGGCTGGAGCTGCATGTGCAAAGTGTGTGCTCACACCTACAATAAAGAGATGTACGGGAGCTGGAGAGGTGGCTCAGAGGTTAAGAGCACTGGCTGCCCTTCCAGAGGACTGAGTTCAGTTCCCAGCACCCACATGGTGGCTCACAGCCATCTGCAGTGAGATCTGATGTCCTCTTCTGTCATGCAGGCGTACATGCAAATAGAGCGCTCACATACGTAAATATACAAATAACTCTTCAGAAGAGACCCATGGGGCCCATTTGTTTGCGACACTACAATGGTTCTAAGAGACAGGGTCCAGAGGCTGGAGAGGTGGCTCAGCGGTTAAGAGCACTGGCTGCCCTTCCAGAGGACCTGGATACAATTCCCAGCAACCACATGGCAGCTCACAACTGTTTGTAACTCCAGTTCCGGGGATTCAACACCCCCACACAGACACACATGCAGGCAAAACGCCAGTGCATGAAAATAAAAATAAATACGTTATTTAAAAGAAAATGAGACAGGGTCTAGCCTGCTATGAAAAACAAAACACACAAAAAGCCTAATAAATGAAAAACAAACAAACAAAAAACCAGACTGGAAAGTTACTGTTTTCATCGCCATGTAACCCCCGAGACACTGACAGAGTGAGAGGCAGTTTTAGGGCTCACATCCGGCTGCACAGTCCCCAGGGCTCAGCTGCCCATTCCGGGTGATGGGCCCTGACTGGTGCAGAGGGAGGAACTCACCCACAGACGCGATGTCAGCCAGCTGGTCCTCGGCCTCCTCAGGGTTGAGCAGGTCCGTCTTGCTTTTCTTCAGAGTAGCTCTCCGCAGAGCTCCAACAAGGGAAACATGGCGAGAGAAGACGGCATTACCCTTTTATGCCAGGGTGGCAGAACGCCATGCCCACTGTAGACATGTACAAGCCACCACTGGGGAAGGTGAGGTGGCTCTGCCTATCGGAGCCCAGACCAGTCTAACACTGTTCAGCTAGAGTTCAAAGTCAGGCTCAAAACACTTTTTTTTTTTTTTTGGTTTTTCAAGACTGGGTTTCTCTGTGTAGCCTTGGCTGTCCTGGACTCTCTTTGTAGACCAGGCTGGCCTTGCGATCTGCCTGCCTCTGCCTCCCCAAGTGCTGGCATTAGAGGTGTGTGCCACCATGCCATTCTAGAAACACTATTTTCAACTGTTCTGTTTTATTGTTTATTTTAATTAACAATTACTATGTTGTGTGTGGGGGTTTTGCCTGCATGTATGTCTACGCAGTACATATGTGCAGTGCACACAGAGGCCAGAAGAAGGTGCTAGAGTCCTTGGGGCTGCCGTTAAAGAAGGTTGTGATCCACCATGTGAATGCTGGGAAAAGCGGCCAGTGCTCTTAACTCTAAGCCGTTCTTCCAGTCCTGTTTGTTTGTGAGATAGGGTCTCACTAAGCAGCCCTGGCTGCCCTGGAACTCACAGACATACACTTGCTTCTGCTTCTGGAGTGCTGAGATAATAGGTGTGCACCACCTTGCTGGCTCTGGTTTATTTTTATAGTGACAGCAAAGTTCCCTTCAAGTCCCGGGACTGGAGACATAGCCTGTCCCTCAACCTAGCACACAAGTGCTAGGCCAGTTGGGGCTGGGCAACTGTTCAGTGCTCAGGCATGCTCTCCAAGCCTCTCCAGTGGGCACACACTCTACCAGAGACTTAAACTCCACAGGGATCTCGTTCTACTCCCCCCAAAAAATATTGAGGATTCTTGATTTCCTTCTGGCATTTTGATATTTATTTTTTTCCTTTTTTTTGTTGTTGCTGCTGCACAAAATAGTGAGTTTTAAAGAAAAATCTAAAAAGGAATGTGGTGCATGTACAGACTGAGCGTGAGCGCAGTGCTTGTGGAGGCCAGAAGCTGGCGGCAGGCCCTCTGGAGTTGGCGCCATTACCCTCTAGTCACTACTGTGCCTGCTGTGAGAGCGCACGTACACCTACTTCTCTCTCTACTTCTACCTTGTGGGCTCAGGTCATTAAGCTTGGACACAAACGCCTTCAGCCACTGAGCCATGTCACCAGCCCTGTCACGCCCACTTTACAGAAGAGGAAGACTGTGGGCACGGGGCACACAATTAAAGGAGAAAAGGGGAAGTCGGGAACGCACGCCACCCCTGCCACCCAGGAGGTTCTGGAATTCCTTCCAGAGGCCCATGCTTCAACTACTCCAGTTTCCTTGCACAGCCAGTCTCACATCTCTTCCTGGCCTGGCCTACCATACAATACCCTCTAGACCAAGTCACCTGCCCAGCTGCAGCCAACCCCACTCGCCTGGGACCCGCCGGCATGCTGGGCTCAGAGCAGTTACCATCAAAAGGGTGCCTCTGTTCCACGTCTGTCTCGTCCTCCGCGAGGATCACCTCTTCTGAGGAGAAGAGCAGAGTTAAGGTTCTGTGTGAAGGGCTTTCTGGGGGACTGACCTTCAAGGACTCTGGCCACACCCACTGCCCCTCATTCCTGGTCCAATCCAACCAGCCAGAGCCAGGCAGCTGAGCGTTTTCCTGCATCCTAGCCCCACCTAGCAGTGGGTACACTTGAGTAGTCTGTGATGTAGGCATAGCTGGGCTCCACACTGTGGAACCGTGCTTGAGGGGAGGGGCCGTAAGAGGCAGGTCCTTAAGTTGCAGTCTGTGTGTCCTTGGAAGGGCTAAGAAGGCTCTCGTGGGACATCAGGCTCCTGGCACAAGTCAGCTGTCAGGGCAAGCTTGCCCTGGGTCCATCTCACTTCCTTGTCTGCTGATATCTCTTATGTCCTAGCTCTGCCATGCCCACCACAAGACCTAGAGTCTTCATGAGGCTAAGCCCCTGTCGGGCCGTGACCTTGAACTTTAGTCTTTGTTCTGTGGTCAGATGTGAAAAATTCCCACAGACTCACTCGTTTGAGCCCTGGGTACCCAGGCAGAGGGGGTGCTTGGGAAAGTTGCTGTGGAGGACGAGGGTCACTTGGGGCGGGAATTCAGCCCGGCCTGCTTCTTGTTCTGGTTCTGCTTGCCTCCTGGTAATGCCAGCCTCCTGCTCTTGCCACCATGCCACCCGTCCCTGCTGCCACGTCTACCCATCAGGACGGATGCTATTGCTCTGGAGCTGTGAGCCCTACACTGCTTTTACCACAGCAACAAGGAAGCAGTGGCCGCTCAGTGAACTTCTTTATAAAAAGTTCACCTGCCTCAGGGACTTTGTTATAGCTACACCTGGATTAGCGTACTGGCATCACTCCACCTCAGCCTAAAGGGACCCTGCTCCATCTGACCTGCCGCTTCCCTGCCCCCTCATTCACGCTTCTCCAGGAACACCCATTTCTTCTGTTTCCATTGTACTCCTGCTCCAAGACCTCTGCATTCGCTCTTTCCTCTCTCTGGACCTGTCCTCTGCCCAGCATGCCCACAGCCTCCATTTCACTTCTTCATTTCTTTTAGGTCTTTGTTGAGACTTTTTTTGTTGTTGTTCTGTGCCTGCTATCTTGCCTTTTCCCTTCTCTACTTCTGTGTTTGAGACACAGTCTTACTGTGTAGCTCAGGCTGGCCTCCTGATCCTCCTGCGTCACCTCCTAAGTGCTCAGATGACAGTGTGCCATCATGCCTGGTCATGCTTATTTTTCTTCTTGCTTTTGTTGGGGAGCTTTGTCTCTCCCTAGTCGGGGGCAGGGGTTTGCCATGTTCTCGGTGTGTATGGTGGTGTTTTCGGGTGCCGGTAAACAAATATATGCCTATTGGGCATCTGATGCTACTCTGAGCATCTCGGCTCTGTTGTCTTATAGAATCCTCAGCAGCCCCACAATCCTCCATGGACTGAACCCAACACAGACCAGAACCACTTGGGCAGAAATGCATCTGCACGCAACGTTCACAGACATCTTTCTTATCATTCAATAACAATACAGCAACTGCCTCAGGCACTCAGTTATTGTGAGACGGTGGAGCCTGTGGGAGGAGGAGGTGAGCCCATGGGAGAAGGAGGAGGTGGGCCCATGGCAGGAGGAGGTGGGCCCATGGGAGGAAAGGAGGTGTGCCCATAGGAGGAGGAGGTGGGCCCATGGAAGGAGGAGGTGGGCCCATGGGAGGAAAGGAGGTGGGCCATGGGAGGAGGAGGAGGAGGGCCTATGGCAAGAGGAGGTGGGCCCATGGGAGGAGGAGGTGGGCCCATGGGAGGAAGAGGTGGGCCATGGGAGGAGGAGGAGGTGGGCCCATGGGAGGAGGAGGAGATGAGCCCATGGAAGGAGGAGGTGGGCCCATGGAAGGAGGAGGAGGTCTGCCCATGGAAGGAGGAGGTGGGCCCATGGAAGGAGGAGGAGGTGGGCCCATGGAAGGAGGAGGTGGGCCCATGGAAGGAGGAGGAGGTGGGCCCATGGAAGGAGGAGGTGGGCCCATGGAAGGAGGAGGTGGGCCCATGGGAGGAGGAGGTGGGCCCATGGGAGGAAGAGGTGGGCCCATGGGAGGAGGAGGAGAGCCCATGGGAGGAGGAGGTGAGCCGGTGGGAGGAGGTGTGAAGGCTGCACAGATAAGGGGCCATCTTCTGTAAGGGGCCTAGGTATTTGCTGATGTTAGTGTCTGTGGTTCTAAAATCAATCACTCTAACGCCATGGGGTTACTTTACCACCATTATCTTCATTGAACAGTTAAGGAAACTGAGTCATAGGTGATGTACAGGAATAAGAAAAACTAGATCTGGGACTTATACCCATGTTTGCTTAAAAACATGATCAGGGCAAACCAGCTGTGGTGGAAGCAGGAGGATCGGGAGTTCAAGGTCATTCTTGACTAGTTTGAGAGTCTAGGTTTTGTGAGACACTGTCTCAAAAACAAACAAATAAAGCTTCATCTCAAAATAGCTTTTCTTCTTTCTTTTTGATGGGAGGAAGGTCTCACTGAATAGCCCATGTTAGCTTCAAACTTATCTTCCTGTCTCAGCCTCATGTGATGGTTGGTTTTAATGTCAGCTTCCCACAAATTAGAATCATTTGAGTGGGAAGCCTCACTTGAGGAATTTGTCTTGGCTGGTGTGGGAGGACTGTGGTGGCAGCCCAGATGAAAGGGCCTGGCAGGGTTAGGTCATCCAGCCTCCCTCTCTCTAGGAGTTACTCTCTCCTTCATTTGCTCCTGCTGATCCCTCTGCTGATATCAGAACCTGCATGTCCAGGCTTCACTCACTGAGGGCAAGTGGCTCTCGGGGAACTTTCCAGGCTTTTAGTACCAGATTGGGACTGCCAAGGAGTCCAACCCCGTGGATGGAGGAACTGATGGGTCTCTGATCTTTGCAGTGAGGAAAGCAAGCCAGTAAGCAGTGTTCCTCCAAGGCCTCTGCTTTAGTTCCTGCCTTCAGGTTCTGCCATAAGCCCCTGCCCGACTTCTCTCAGTGACGGCTGTAGAGTGTAGGCTAAAAATCAACCCTTTTGGCCATGGCATTTGTCACAGCACCAGCAAGCTACATAGCACAGGCCCCAGATGTGCACTGCAGGCCTGCTCCGTTGTGGATTCTTGCTGCTAAACTCTGGGGCTAGCAATTTGGATCCTCTTTCTCCTCCTACCATCACCCTCCCTTGGGCCTCTTCAAATTGCAAGTGTGAGCCTGGGTTGTCCGTGGTTTGGGATGTCCACCCCTGGGCCCCAGAAAGGACCTCACCTGCTTTTGAGATCCACTCCATGTACCCATTGAGCTCGCGTTCGATCTGCTGCTGTCTTCTGAGCTTCAGAAAAGCCCTCCGGTTCTCCACACGTTCCCTTTCTTTGGCAAACTCCCTGTAGAACCACAAAGAAGCCAGGGTTGGCAGTGAGGGTGCTCAACCAGCAAATGAATACATGTCCATCACTCGAAGAGCCTTGGGCACCTTCCCCAGCGTATCAGAAGCTGGCATAGTGGCATGTGCATGCTATACCAGAACCCATACGGTGGGCGTGGGAGACTCTTAAACTCAAGGTAATGCTTGGCTAGATTGAGACCATCCTGGGCTATCCCAGACCCTGTCTTAAACAAAAAAACAAAAACAAAAACAAAAAAACAAAAACAAAAAACAAACAAACAAAACTGAAAACAAAACAAAACAAAAAACCCCCCACCACTCCCCTGATTCTCCCAACAAAACAAAAACAAAGCTTCTGTTGTTAGGAAAACTTTAAAAGGCCAAGCGTGGGGCTTCAACTTCAACATGGACGGGAGTCCTCCAGGAGGGAATCCTTGTCTGACAGCACTGGGTCCCCACACGTCTGGATCAAAGAGGCAAGAGTTCAAGAGCTGGAAGCCAAGCCAACTACTGTTGCTACACCTGGGACTCGGTCCCCCGAACACTGGCTGATGCCACTCTGGCCTTCTTCCTTCAGCCGCTCCCTTTCCCTCCTGGGGAGGCCATCTTGTGAGTATCAGGCAGTCATGGTGAGACGTGAACTATCTCCCAGCAAAAGCCTTGAAAGAAGACGTCAGAGTGGAAACCTGGAAGAATCTGGGGTTGCAGTCGGCAGCGTGGAGCTATACTGTGCACCCCCAGACTGCTTTGGTGAGACATATGAAGTCTATTTATAATGAAGATTTTTTTAAATCAAAGTAATTTTGGGGATTTGTGGACCGTTTGTGTTAGTTCTTATTTATAATTTCTATTTACATGTATGTGTGTGCCACAGTTGTAGGTACCCTTGGAGTCTAGAACTGGGTATCACATTTCCTCCAGCTGGAGTTACAGGTGGCTTGTAACCTACCCAAAATGGGTTTGGGGAACTGAACCTGGCTCCTCTGCAGTAGCAGTAATCGCTTTTTTCTTTCAGATTTATTATATATGTATGAATGTTTTGCCTGCATGTATGTATGTGCATCAGGTGTGTGCCTGGTGCCAGAGGTCAGAACAGGACACCAGACCCTTTGGAACTGGTTCTGGACAGTTGTGAGCTATCATATAGGTGCTGGGAACCAAACCCATGTCCTCTGCAAGAACAGAAAGTGCTCTTGACTGCCGAGTTGGCTCTCCAGCCCCTCCCCCCTCTTTTCTTTTGAGACAGGGTCTCACTCTGTAGACCAGTCTGGCCTTGAACTCCCAGAGATCCACTTGCCTCCAGAGTGCTGGGCTCAAAGATTCATCAACAGATCAGCCTAGCATGCTTAACTGCCAAGTCACCTCTCTAACCCCAAGGGAAATGCATATACATACATACATACATACATACATACATACATACATACACACACACACACACACACACACATACATATACACACATATAGTCATCAGTGCTTTGTTTTTATGATACGGACCTCACTCTGTAACCCAGCTTGGCCTCAAACTGACTATGAACTAAATTTGTGGCAATCCTCTGGTTTCAACTTCCTGAGTGCTGGGATTATCTGTGTGAGTCAGCACCCATAGCTTCATAGCTTGTTTATTTTTTTAAAGATCTATTTGTTTTCATTTTATGTGTTTCGTTGTTTTGCCTGCATGGATGTCTCTGCACTGTGCATGTATACCTGGTGCCTGGAGGTCAGAAGAGGTTGTTGGATTCTCTGGAACTAGAGTTACAGATGGTTGTGAGCTGCCATGGGGGTTAATCCAGGCTCTCTGGAACAGCAGCCTGTGCTCCTGACTGCTGAATCATTTCTCCAGCACCTTATTTAATTGTGTTTTTTTTTGAGACAGGGCTTTGTTGCAAAGCCCAGGATGACCTGTAACTCATGATTTTCATATGTAAGCTGCCTATGCTGGGATCACAAACCTGTATCACCACACATGGCTTCTATGCTGTGATTATTCGGAAAAAAGGAAAGAAGGAACCCAAAGTATTCTTTTCAAAATAAATTATTCTTTCTTATAGTTATTGATTTTTTTATTTAATGTGTATAGACTGTTTTGCCTGCCTGCATATCTGTGTGGACCATGGGTGTGTGGTACCCACAGAGGCCAGAAGAGGAGGATGTTGACTTCCCTGGGTCTGGAGATAGACAGTTGTCAGCTAGCCATATGGATGCTGTGAATTGAACCTGGGTCCTCTAGCTGAGCAACCAATGTTATTAAACACTGAGCATCTCTCCCCCTCCCGAAGCATTGATATTATATAAAAATAAATTAAAAAACAGACAGGAAAACCCATAAGGGCTTCCTCATTGGCCCCCTCAGGCAACACGCAATCTATGCAGCTGCTCATGGATTGCTAATGAGAGTTTTGATGACTGAAAACCAGGAAAGTTTACTTACTAGGAACAGTGGGATGGAGATCAGAACAGCAGAGACTTACCCAGACAGCACACCCAGCACAAGGTTCAGCATAAAAAAGGAGCCGATGATGATGAGGGGAATGAAGTACAACCAGTTCCAAGTGTTCCCTGAGGCATCGTTGCTCTGCAGAGTGCAAAGAGGGAAATCATGTGAGAATGGAGTGGGGACGAGGTGGAACCAGAGAGGAGCAACAGGGTTAACTTCCTGCCTCCTGTGATTCTGTCTCAAATGTTCTTGACTTGCGGGATCCTGGCACTCTGGAAGCCAAGCAAGTGACATGGAGGGTAAAGCTTAGATGGTGGGGAATAGCACCAAGGTACCACCAGGGGACAAAGCTCTGTCACGTCACACACAGTTCTCAAGGTATCTGGGAGTCAAGATGCTGAAGAGGATTCTGGATCTGAGTCTGAAATGAGAAGGAAACATACCGTGTGCGTGCGCGTGCACAAACACAAGCCACCGAAATGGAGAGAGGAATGAACCCCGATCCTCACACTGGTCTCTACACAGTCACCATTTCCCCTTAGGGAAAGCACATGGCCTCAGAGTCTCCCGGCTTGGTAATTTCAGAGCCACAAGCTTATCCCTCAAGCATCAACTCCATTCCCTGGAATAAGATGAAAACCACAACACAAAACCATCTCTAGGAAGTGCCCAGCTAATTCTGCAGGGAAAAGAAGTCCACAAATAGAATACTCTTGAAATACAGAAAACTGAAAGAGAATGAGAGGAAGAGAAGATGGAGACAAAAAACGAAGAGGATGAAATAGGAATGGAGGAAGGAAGATGAAAGGGCGGGGCCAAGCTGGCTGTAGAGATGAGCGGTATAAACACTAAGAGCATTTACTATATACCTGTCCTCCTCCGGGAATATCACCTATATTTATTCACTCATCTTCATGAGGCACTGTGTAATCACGATGTGCATTTTACAACTGGAATGGAGTCCAAAAAAGACAAATAACCAGCCCAGAGTCTCAGAGTGCCAGATGTGCATTTTGAATGTTCAAATCTGTGGACCTGACCTGTGTGCTGGAGAAGACTGTGTGCTGGAGAAGATTCTTCTATATTTTAGGGAAGATATATCTTCCTAGTGGTTGATCACCTGTGACACTTGGAAAATGCAGGGCTCTTTAGTGTGGCTTTAAAAGCTCATCTTCAGAAGTAAGCATCCATAATACAGGAGGAAAGCTAAAACAAGAAAGATTGACATCACCAGAGTCACTGATGAGGCTGTGCAGCAACTGGAACTTTCAGGCCCTGCTGACACAAGGGCACCATAGCATGTTAGTGTCCTGCAGCTGTGGTAACAAAAGTCACAAACGGAGTGATTTAAAAAATAGAAATCTATCTCACAGTTTGAGATGGTGGAACTCTAAAGTCAGTTTGTGGACACGGTTGGTTCTACTGAAGGCGGGGAGAGAATCTGTTTCCTATATTTTTCTGGCATTTGGTACTTTTCTGGCCATCTTTGCCACCCGCCTCCAAGTCTGCTTTCATCTTAACATGGTCTGTTTCCTATGTGTGTCTATGGCTATATTTACCCTTTTGATAGAGACATCTACTGGCCCCAATGTAGTGAATTACTTGTGCAATGGTATTTCCAAATCAGGACATACTCTGAGCTACTAAGGGTAGTGGAAAGATTTTCACTAGGATTTGCTCTTGTTTCTGTGGTGCAGGGGATTAAGCATAGTGCCTGTGCATGCGACACAAGTACTCTAAAACTGAGCCACACACCCAGACCTGTTTGTTTTCTCAGGCAGGGTATCAGAATGTGGCTCAGGCTGACCTCGAATCTCTGATCACCTCTCCTGGGATGATGGCCAGGCACCACCACAGCAAGATAACACACATGTTTTGAGAGGGCAGAACACAACTACTCTGAGAAATAACCCAACAGCTTTTACTGAAACTAACTAATGCATTACCACCTCTAGCCATACTAATCCCAGATGGTTACCCAATGGAAATATGAACCTATGATCACTCCAGGTACGCACAAGAATGTTCACAGTGAACACCAGAGAATGCCCCAGGTTGTGAACTACAACATTATAGCAGTACACAGGAGAGGAACTTTGTCTGATGATGGGCTGCCACAGGATCCTGTACCACAACAATGCCGAGCAGAAATCTCCACATACAGCAGCAGACACGGGTGACCCCATAATCAGTATATGTGTTGTGTGTGTGTGTGTGTGTGTGTGTGTGTTGTATAGCAGTTTGCTCTGAGATAAAACCAGCCACTGCAGTTTCTTAATAAGACACGGAATGTTTTAAGGTGGGGGGTGAAACATTCCATCTTTGAGGAAAGCTCCTTAAGCTCAGGAAGTAAACAACTCAAAAGCTTTAGAAAGCCCCTGAAACTGATCAGATTCAGTAGGCCGCTCTCTCCCCAAGTGAAGCTAAGTTACGGGCTGCTGAGAGACTCTTCGGCAAGCCAAGCTGCCTGAGCGATGGTTTCCCCCGTGACCTCGCTGCAGGTGCAGTGTGCTCCAGGTCTTTGGATTCCCAGAGTTTCTGAGCCGTCGTCATTATTGGGATGGGTTTTGGTGATGGAGCTGTCTCTGAGTCCTTTTTGCTCCTGTAAGTGACCCCCATAAAACTTACTGGTTCACCAAATTGGACTTTGTTGGTATCTGTACTGTGGTTCCCTATCTGAAAGAGGTAGATGTTTTTAACATCCCTCCGTGAACAGCGTCACACAGCAGCATGTAACACCGTGCAGCCAGACCCAACGTGAATGCAAAGAAAGGGCTAACTATGGTGGGAAGGCAGGTGTGACCCCAGCTGTACTCGAGGCTGAGGCAGGATGCCGTGAGCCCAGGATCAACCCAGGGAGCGCAGACTGCCCCAAAGACAAACCAAGTGCTTTTAATCCCAGCCTCATCTGCATCGTGAAGTTCAGGCAAGCCAGGCCACATAGTGAGACCCTAACTAAAAAAAAAAAAAAAAAAAAAGTTAAAACAGGGCCAGGAGTGTGGCTCAGCAGTAGACTGGCACGCATGAAACCCTGGGTTCCATCTTCTGCAATACGAGAAAACAAATAATTACATAACTAGATTTATTGTTAATGTGTTTGTTGTGGATGTAAACATGTTTTGTTTTAATACCAGGTGTGGGATGTGGGACTGATTCAGATGGCCCACAGCAGCAGACTATTTGCCTCGTGCAGGCTCTGAGAGGCGCTCTTTACCAGCTGCAGGTAGTTTAGATCTGAGGACTCTGGAGAGGGAATAAATGCCAGAGCCCAGAGAGTGTGGAGGAGCTCCGAGAAAGAACAAGGCTGCTGCTGCTTCTTCCCGAGGCTCCTGGTTGCTGTAGTGAGATAAGAAGTTGGAGATCTCCTGAAATGAGGACTAGACTGGCTCCAAGGAACCTGATGATCCTAAGAGCAGGAAGCAGCTAAGAGAACTGCACCCCCTCTCCCTCTAACCCTTTCTCTCTCCTACCTGGTGTTGGGGTGTTGGAAAGTATTGGAATGGAGTAGGGAGAAAGAGATATAAGAAATGTAAATAAAATAGTTTTTATTTTAAAAAGTGTGCCAACATGTATTTACTCAAATAATTAAAACAAAGTCACTTTTAATCATGGGCACAGACAGGGTCCTGTAGAAAACGAATGTCTGAGACCCTCGTCCACACCCTTGTTCTGCCAAGTCCCCACATCTCAGCGCTTTACTCCTGAAAGATTCTGAAGAAGGAATGGAGTCATTGGAATTTGCTGGACAGAAGGCAGCACGGCTTTGTGTTCCTCTTGGCACCGTGGAGCTGAGAGCTTCTTGTTCAAGTTCCTCAGGCTAAATATAGCACTGGGAGCCAGAGCCAGCAGCAGCCAGCTAGAAGGGCTCTGGGCTGTCACATGGTGGCTCAGACAGGGATAAAGTGGGGTGGTGGAGGATGGTGAGAGGCCCCTCACGGCAAGGGTGCCACCTCGTCCTGGGTTACCCCTTCCTCAGTCCCGCCTCTCTACACCGAGCTCCCTCTCCGGGCTGCGCCACACTCACACGTGCGATTGTGACCTACTGAAACTCACTAAAATCCTCTTGTGAATTCCAAGAAAGAGTGTATAATCATTTGTCCTGTCAGGGGTGAAACCAAGGCCCAGAGGGGCAAACTCACTGTCCTGTGGTTCATGGAGTCACCTGTGAAGGTGTCTAAGACAGAACAGTGAGTGACACCAGAGTCTCTGCAGGTCCCAGGTAAAGCCATTAGGGCAGGCCCTAATCCTGTGACCAGTGTCCTCTTGTGGAGGGACAGTCAGGACACAGAGACAGACACGCACGGAAAGACAAGGCAAGAGGAAGGTGAAGGCAAGGATGGAAGAGCGTCAGCTAGGGAGGAGACCAGAAAGGATTCCATCCCGGGGTCTGAAGGGCACAGCCCTGCTGGCATATTGGTCTTGGACCTTTGGCCTCCAGAGCTAGGACAAAAGAAATTTCCATTGTTTTCAGCCACCAAACTTGTTGGAAGGAGGGACATGTCTTTTAGAGACACAAGGAAGCCCTAGCCTCTCCAGGTTGAGTTCACCCACAGATGAACCCCTCAAGGTGGCCAGCACCCTCACTCTCAGCTTCTCAGTTGGGATCACATCCTCAACACAACAGCTGTTTTGGGCAACACGTGACATGCAAGCAGTTGCCATACTAAAAATCTGACAAAGGCAACGCAAGGGGAAGGTGTGTTTCAGTTCAAAGGTCAGTAGGGCAGTCCCTCATGGAGGGCCCAGGAGCAGCTGCCACACTGCAACCAGGAGACAGATGTTTGCCTTTTTTTTTTTTTTTCCTCCTTTACATACCCTGCAGGATCCCAGCTCAGGAATGGTTTGTTCCCTGTGGTGGCCACTGAAGAGCTTTCTTCCTCAGTGAACCTAAGATGGTCCCTCCCATGTGTGCTTAGAGGCATGTCTCCTAGGTGATGTCCCGTTGAGTTGACAACACTCACCATCATGGCATGCCCTTGCTCCCTCACTCATGTAGGTATTGTCACACCCATACACTTGTGAGTAACCCCAATCAATTTGTTGGTTCGCTCAACTGGACTCTGGTGGAATCGCTCCTCTGGCTTGTTATGGGTTCCCTATGTGGAGTGAGCAGACACCTGTTTGTCTTCCTCGGAGAG